CAACCAAAATATCAGAGGGCCAAAGGAAGCTCTGATGCTCACTATCAAGAGAAAGAGGACTGTCATGCTCCACTAGTAAACAAGAACAAATAGCATGAGTTGAATAGGAGGGAAATCATTTCACAGGTCCTATGGGGTGTAATTTTTTAAAATATCTGCCCAAGAGTAAAGATTTGACTCAAGTCCTAACAACTTACAGTTAGTAACAACTCTACCAGTGTTCTCTACCCAACCCCCACCACCCTAAGATATGAGAACTTTCTTCCAGAAAAATAAGCTGTAGGAAATTAATGTTAAAAATAAGTGGATTTTTGTTTTAAATATGAAGCCTTATTGCTCTTTTGCCATCTTCCCTCATTTCTCTTTTTATCCCCCCCACATCCCTGTTTTCTTCCTCTACTTGAAATTAATTATAAATATTTTATATTTTTTACAGGATAGAGAAGCACCACAGCTACTATTAAAAAGCTACCAGTTATTTATGTGCTCAGTGGGGCGCGTTGCCTGAAAACAGGGGCAGTAATCAACAAAAGTTTCTATGGCATGGATCAGAGAAACAGACTGAAGAGTACAATGGTTGGATTTTTGGGGGGAGGAAGGGTTAACTGAAATGAGTGTGCACACTAATTTAATAATTATTATTTTTAATTTACATATACAATATCACAATTGTCAGCACCAATAATAAGCTAGAGAAACCACTACTGTGCACTACTGTAGACTGGTAATGACCTGCACAGAATGAAGAAGGCTTCCTACATAAAAACTGAACTGTATTTGAAAAAGTTTAATTACAACTGGAACTTAAATCTAATAATGGCAGCAACCACCATCATAAAAGCTAGTATCTTCACATTATTATATGAGCACAGTGAGAAATGCCAGATTGCTTTCCTCTGTGCTTCTGTTGAACTCAATATTTTCTAACTAATGTCTGTCAAAATGGGATCAGGAATTCTCCATAAATACTTATCTCCACCGCCCATTCCTCTTCTCTTTTGTTTTGTAACTTTTGTTGCCAGCCATCAGCACTTGCTGCTTCAAGTTAGTTTCACACTAGACTGCAACACAGTATTCCACAGCTCTTGCATGCAGGTAACTCTAGTTAGAGTTAATTGGTATTTTGCATGCATTTGGACACAGGATTGGCCTTATTTTTAACTTGACATGGCCCTTAAAAATAAATAAGAGGGATAACATATGGTTAAAGGAAGCATGGTAGCTTCTCTCTTATAAGCTCTAGGAAAGGTACTATCTCCTTGGTGCAGCTATGAAAGCATAGGTTCTTTAATATATAAATGCATACTAAGCTTTTCAAATTATTATTTATTCAAAATTTCATTTTAAATAGTTTACATAAATTATGTCCACCACAAATACCTCCCCAAAGAAAGAGAAGCATCCAAAGAAATATTTTAGGATGTTTGTCTTTGGGAGTTCTTTGTGGGTGGGGTGGGAGAGCGAGAAAGTTTTCTATTCACTGTACAAAGAACATGACTGCTTTATAAATATTGCTGTTTTCATAAACGGCAATCAAGGCAAAAATTAACTACTTTCAAACCTAAAGGTACTTTAGAAGAAGTCTCCTAAAAACATACTGTCGGAATTCTTGTCTTCAGACAATATGAATCACAAGTGCATAAAAAAAGATTAAAACTCTACTATCTATGAATTACTGTTGATACAATACAGTACTTGAAAACATTTGCATTTCTATGTTGTCCGAATAGACTGCTAGAACAGTGACAGCACAAGTGATAAATGAATACCTGAAATGAGTGACAGATGTTGTCATTATACCCTTTAGAGAAAAATGTGGACAAAGCTTGCTTGCACTGGAGTCTCCTAAAACCCTTATTAAACTTCAGTTACAGAACTTAGTTAGCATAACTGACTGGTCAGCTTTATTAGCCATAGCCCAAAAGGATCACAACAGTTAAAATGTCTGCATTCCTGCACCAAACTCTGTTAAGATAGCTCATTTTTGGACAGCTGGGATCTCATCAGTGGAAACTTGGCTGAGGTTATAAGTGCACACCTCTGCCTTCGAAACTGGCCAAGTTGAATTTTGAAGATTTAGTTTAAGTTATCATCATCAATCTCAGAAATTGTGCATTAAATAGCTTTTATTTTTCAAAAACTTTGCAGACAAATTGCACTTATACCAATTTCAGGATTTTTAGGATAAGAAGAGTGACAAGGAAAGGGAGAGAAAAAAAAAGTTGTTGTAGTCCAGCCACTCAGATGCAGTGAGAGTATGTACAGTAGTAACTTCTAAAGGCATTGCTCACACACAGTCATCCAGAACTATAATAAATTTGCTTAATGCACCTCCACATGCGGAGTATTTTACTCCTAGTTTTCACTAGCTTATGCATCTGTTTCAAACCATACAGTTATAAACTCTGACTGCATGTATTAGTCTGGGTGCACTTTTTTTTTTCTCTTCTCCAAAAAGAGCCTCACAAAACTCTGAACAGCTGTAATCCATTAAATTACATTAATACCTCACAGATGAGCATTAAAAGCTTGCTTTGTATTTGAATACTTTTATCTTGCAACTTAGAGTAATCAACATCCATTGATTGCACTGGAAGCTCACACCAGTTATCTTCACTGGAAATTATAGGGAAGTACTGCAAAGCAATATTGAACAATATTGCAACTACTTTAGATTAACAACATGGTTTCTAGTGTCTTGGGTGATCAGAGCATATTTCTGTCAGCAGTTTTGGCAGCATCACCATATGCATTTAATATGCAAAGCCTCATTGAAATAAATATGTAGGTCACCAAGATGATGGATTTAAATAGTAATCTGCATGATAAGAATATATAGTACTAGATTAGGAAACACTATGATAAGATTTATAGTCATGTGGACATGACTTATGTAACTATGACCAGTTGAATATTAGCCTTAAAAAGGTATTTAAATATAAAAACCATTTCCAAGTGACATTAAAGATGTGACTAAAAAAGAAAATTCAAACCAACCAAAACTCACTGTCAAATAAATGTTAACCACAAATGTTAAATCTGAATTTGGATAACGTCCCATGGATTCTAAATATCTTTAAAAATAAATAAAAACGCAAACTTCTGTTTGCCATGAAACGGATACAACGTGTTTTATGTGTGTTAAGTCACATGCTTAAGTTCATCTCTATTCAGCAAAACAAGTAAACCCATTTAAGTGTTTTGCTGAACTTGGATCTAAAGAGTGGCAGACATCCAATTCTAGGTGGCATATCCAAACAGCAAGGACAATAAGCATGGAATTTTCTTTACATTTACTGTGCATTCTTCAGGGCCCTGAAGTCCCACATGATCCTATGTGATACCCCAGAATGCACTTATGCTAGTTACCTCACACCCACAGCAGAGAATCATGGATTTTACATATGGTGGCAGGTTGTGACTGAGGTGAAATTGTTTCAGTTGACTGTATGAGTTCAATTATAATTAAGAAAATGAAACTGCAAACCCACACAATGTACTAAAAAGGCTTTTCTGGCAGCCTGACACAGCAGATCACATTTATACGGTATCTAACTTTCTTTGTTGCACATAATGAAGGGTTGCACAGAGTCTGCATTCTATAACACTGCTTTGTCAGTCTGGGCACCTAAACTTTAAAGTCAACACATCTCAAGTGTCCTTTGCATATTTGCTGTTTAAGCATACTGCATATTTCTCAAATTGTCACATTTTTCTTTAAATTATTTTGCAGAATATTTTTAGCAAAGTATTTTACACAGGGCCAAGAAAAAACGTGTGGTGAGATCCATCTTTTGACTCTGAGAAAATACTTAACTAAAGGTGGGATTCTCAAGAGCACCAAATAGATTTAGAAACACAAATCCCATTGTTATATAATGGGACTTGTACTCCTCAATCCCTTCAGTGCTTTTGAGAATTCTACCCTTTAACCATTTCCACAGCTGTACTGACATTAATTATGCCACTGCAACGAGCAAGGAAATAAATAAGAACTGTTAATTCCAACTTGGAAGCAAGAGAAAAAGATCAGTTTATCATATAAAAAGCATGCAGGAAATTTTTAATTAAAATATTTCCAAGCCCTGCCATTCAAACAACCGACATTTACAAGCAATATAAACAAAAACAGGTAAGTGTCTTAAGGCTATCAGACAATGAATAACCCTAGTGAAACTGCATCTTGTACTGCTGTCTAATTGAGAGAAAGAGGATAATCACAACTCATTTTGCTGCATAAAGGTCTAAATTCACCCATGGCATTAGTGAATACAGTTTCATTTTATAAATCAAAATAAATACCTGACACCTGAATTTGACATCATTACTCAGACACAAAAGTGTGAAGAAAAAACAAAGTAGCACCCTTTGGCGGACTTTTCTTGGGATGGGGACAAGGGTGGGGGCTAAGCCAGATCCTTATATTATAATGAAATTTTTATTACAGTTTATGCCTGAAAGGAAATTATTCAAGGGAAATTGCAGCTGATGCATAAATCAAGTAATGAAGACATTTGTATGGGTAGAGAGATTCAGTGAGAGAAATTACAATGCCCAAGAGACTGAAAACAGCAGTAATGTGTGGATTTTGATTTCTCACCTGTTCTGCAACTTAAACTTCTGCAGATCTTTTTATTTAAAAAAAAACAAAAAAACCACCTTAACTGCCACTCAAAATGTGAGCAGCAATAAACATGACTTAAAAAAAAAAATAGCTCCAGAAGGCAAACAAATCAAGTCTGATTAAAGTTCAAATCTCCGCCATTGCCATGATTTTATCATGAACACAGAAATTTTGTAAACAAACAGTTTCTTTTAATTTTTCCAACTTAAACAATGTACTGAACAGGGTACATATATGCCTATCATATACAACTATGACTACACAGGAGGGAGAACAAGGAAACCTACAGAGAAAAAACAGGTGCGAGTAAATTTTGTTTATCTAATTTTTGTTGAAGCAGAAACATTTTAATGTTAACAGAAGTATTGGTACTTACTGTGCCCGGCTCTCTGTCTGCTCCCGTAGTAACCAAGAAATGCACAGACATGCCCGTTCAGACACAGAGGCAAGAACAGAAATAAAAAAAGGGGGGAAAAAATTAGAACACAAGCCCCGAACAGTTTTAAAATGGCTTTTATTTATATAAGTCATTGCACATTCCTAATACAGTGATTTCCTGAAAATTACAGTATTTTGTAAACATGATAGATTTACAGTTTAAACATACACAAAGCCTAGTTTTTATTTCATGACAGAATAAATTATTTTTTTCAAAAATTAGTCAAGTGCAATTTTGCCCAATATTTAAATGTGTACTAGAACTTAAGCCTATGAAACTAAAGTAACAGATACAGTTATCTAAACCTTTCATTTAACACATTCACTTCAAAATTTAACTTCTCATTCCCCTCTTCCCTTCTCCCCACCAATTTAACAACATTAGTTTCTTTGAAAAAAATTTACCCAATTATGCAGTTTAACAATTATCCACAATATTGTGCAGGCACTGGTGTTACACTAAGCATTCCCCAGGATGTCAAAATGCCCTGCAATCTATAAAGCAGGAGACACCTAATGGATCGCCTATTTCAAATACTGAAAACTTCCAAGCTTAATTTTGCTTCAGTGGTAGAAATGCAGACACACTTAAAAAAAAATTTTTTTTTTTTTTACAACAGTTTGTTCTCATTTTCATTCTATATAATTCGATTTCTTTAGAGATGCACACAATTTGCAGCAATGTGCAAATTTGACAACGTCCTAATCAGGCTTGCCATGCCTCTCACCTCTGTGGTGTTCTGCATCATGATGCTTCTTGTCATCTTTTATTGCCAAGTGAGACTGCCCACCCAAAGCACTAGAGAGGGCAAGAAGGCCAGCACTGCTCCCAAGTGGAGGAATTCCCGGAGGCTGAAGTCCTGATGGGTGTGGTGTAAGAGGCACTGGAGGTCCATGGCCATGGGAAAGATGCTGAGCCTGCAACTGCTGCTGCTGTTATGGATGGTATTGTTATTCACAGGAGGAAGTATGCGAAGCACATAGTTGAGGAAGAAAAGAGAAGAAAAATGTTGGTTAACTATTCATAATCAATCCTATTTTTACCCTATCTTCCTCTCCACCCCACCACACTTTGTGTCACCTACTCCTGATATGAGTAAAGCTAAACAAAAGTAGCTAAAAACACAGTCCGGTCTACAACAGCACTCCCATCATCACTGAAATGGGCCATTTTTAAGAAAAAATGTCTACCAAAGACAGCCTACAAGACTGCATTATTTCATGCTTAAACTGAGCTTTTACAGAACCTGTGTTCCTAAAATATTTCAGTGTCTACACTAAAAAAAACCTAGCTAGCAACCACCAGTTCATGTATTCAAATACAGCACTCCCTACAAGCATTGTGGTGTTTATGGATTATGACACCTCTCTCGATTTCAGGTGCAGCTTCCTAGATCAGGTATATACCACTGTCTTTATTTAAGGTTGCCTAACACTTCCTATTATAAGGCTCTGTTTTAAGTTGCTTATAATTTTACCAAACTTTTACCATTCAAGATGAAATCTCCCATGCTGGGGGCATGCCTCAAGCTGAAATTTTTTGGGCAAGTTTCTGCAAAAAATGGTTCTGCCATTTCCAAGAACAAGATTAGGGGAAATAAGTTGTTTTGCCCAAGTTAAAAAATTCCTTCAATTAGTTCACTGAGAACTCCTGTTTTGAAGTTGAGATTTGAAATTTGGCAGGGGGTTTCCTTTGGGTGAGGGATGTGCCTTTTGCTGCCCCTGTGTAAATCCATCAAAGTTTCTAAATGTGCAGTTGTTAGAATTTGGCAGCTAATTTCCACAGGGATTTCACTTGCCATTCCAGTGATGCAGGGATTTTCCTGTAATTGCTGCTCCTGACTGTTGCGACCAGCTGTGGCCCTGGGCACAAGAACTAAGACCGGGGAGACTTGTCTCTCCTGTGCTCTCAGTTGACCCTGTACTAGCACCAAGGCAGTGTGGAAAAGAGAGTAGCTTGATCTGAGTGCAGAGGAAACAGCAACCAGACTGTGGGGCAGGAGGTCATTGCAGAGGGTGCAGAATGGGACAAGGAGCCATTGGGTGAGGGAAAGAAATAGGACTGGGAGAGGGATAGACTAGGACTGACTAGTCAAGGAGTGTGGGTCTAGGCTCAGCGTGTGGAGACTGGTACTGGCTAGCAGACTGGGACAAGAAGCCATGGGGACAGAGAGTCTGGGAGGCAGAGAGGAGGGGAGAGACAGGACTGGAACTGAGAAAGGCTGGAGGAACAGAAGGGAGTCAGGCTTGACAAATATCTGACCACTACAGACAATTCTCTCCAGTACCTGGAATGTAACCTAAGATTCCTATATCTCCCTGTTCCTCTGCAGTCTGCAAACATCTGTGAAATCTCACTGACAAAGTGTGCGTTTCATTCCCCTCTGGAATGTGCTGGGCCACACAGAAGATGACAACCTACTAGTGCTATTAGTTACTCCATAAGCTCAAGTGGCAGAGGATCTAAATGTTTCAAACTGTTGTTGAACCATATATGTCTCACTATGACATAACAGGATGGAATTGCGGGGTGGTGGTGGGGTGGGGGGGTTAGTTTGCTTTTTTTTAAATCCAAGAAACTACACACACAACACTACAATAACAGAACATTACGTTTGCAAAGTCAAGCACTCAAAAGTTAGAAATGCCAAAATTAAGGATTCCTATGCAATTCAGCCCTCCCTGCACGTATGCATTATGAGAGTGTCTTTAATTACATGATCACATACTCTTTTTCCCCCAGAGGACCCATGCTTCATTCAGTGCACAGGATGGACCTGCTCTAGCAGTGAAGCAGGGCTGGACCATTGCCTAATTTGGTGCAGAAGTTTGAATGAGACAGGGGATTACAGGAAGACAAAGGATAGCCTCATGGTTAAGGCAGGTGAATGCCACACTGAAGAACTAAATTCCATTCCTGCCCCTGCCACAGAGTTCTTATGTGATGCTAGTCAAGTCACTTAAACCAAACTTAACAGGTGTTCACTAATTGTGTATTCCTCGTTATATGTCTAACTTGAGACCATGGAGTCTGATTTACAACAGTGCAAAGGACTCAACTGCAACTGAAGTTAATAGGAACTATGCTTTGAACATATAAAGTGCCATATAATGCTGAATACTCTGAAAAATCAGATCCTATGCATCCCAAATTGGGCACCCATAATTAGTAGACACGTTTGACCTTAATGTCTCTGTGCCTCAGTTCCCCACGTAAAACAGCCTCCTTGGGATGTTGTGAAAATAAATTTAATGTTTGTGATGCACTTGAACAGTACAGCAATGAACGTCACAGAAAAGCCCAAGAGTAAATTTAATAATCCTGTCTTCAGAGCAGGGTTGGAATAGCATGCACTAAATGGGGCATGATCAATGACAACAAAACAAAATACTGAATAGCTGCTCATTAAGTGATCAATTATTTCTGTGCACTCTAAGGGAAGAAAGAGGCCTGTGGAAAAACCAGCATGTGATCATGTAATTAAAGATTGCATCATAATACACATGTACAAGGACACCAAATTAACGTCGCACAGACTACTGTAGTAACTTTGGAGTGCTTGACTTTGCAACTTTAATACATTTCTTTTTTCTTGTTTTATATTTTTTTGTGTTCACATATAAAGCATCTGTTACATTTCTCAGAGCTATGCAATATTACATATCTAATGTTAGCATAAGATACATATTTGCACCTGTTCACATCATTATTTGATCCAATTATTGTTTCAAAAAGAACATCTTGCACAAGGATTGCACATGGTGGAAAGGGAAAAGTTATGCCTTACTACATCTCCACACAATCCATACAGACTGCAGAGGATCACTAGCCCCTTCCCACAGTCTTTGGGCTTGTATATATGGAAGGGGGGGGGAGGGGGAAGGTTACATTGAAATTGTGGTTTAAAGTAGCTGTTTCTTTCTTTCTTTAATGTCCTGGGGTTGGGGTGTCAAGTGAGGGGAAAGGGAGCAGAGCCAAGACCAGCCAAGTATCTTCTCAGCTGCCCTTGAGCCCACACACAGCCAGTAGGTAGGTAACCTTAACAAGCAGACTGATCCAATCCTCTGAGTGATCAGACCTAACACTGGGCACAGCATTGTGGAACTACACCAGGAACACTACTTGACTGAAATGGTGCAGCTTCCAGGCCACAGCAGTATTCCAAGAGTTCAGACAGAACTGACATTAACAAAGCTGTTACTGGACTTACACAGAGCTACTGAAGCTGTAGCAATACTTGGAATGTTTATGGAATGTTATGAGCATTCCAGTCTGTTGTTGTAGAAACCTGCATTCTCTAGTGTACACCACCTAAAGTGCTTGGGTTAAACCTAGCCTTCTCCCACCCCACCCCACCACCCCTTTGGGCAGCTATTATACCGCACTCTCCTTTTAGCTAAGTTCAGTAGCTGTAAAGGTTTGGTGAAAGCATTTCAGAGTATATCAATATTAACAAAACTGAATTTGTTTGGTATCAGCCATCTGTTCCTGCATCTATTCATAATGGTGCCAGGCATGCATTTTATTTTGAAAAAAATCAAGAGTAGGGTATTCCTCTTTAGACCACAATCACTCATTTCACCTGCTGTACACTCTGAAGTGCTTTCACCAAACCTTCAAAGCAGCAGCAATGGGGAAAACACTTTCTCCAGTACCACTGCGGAAGAATCCTACATGATCCTTTACAGAACTGATCTTGGTCAGTGTTGTGTCAACAACTAGGAGAGGGACAGACCTTGGCTTATTTGTAAGGACTCTCCGTTATATAACTAACTATCTGCAGAATGATTAGAAATTGATAATTGCTATAAAATAAGGGACTAAATTTGGTCTCCTGCACCACTGGAGCTGTTGCACTTGAGTGTGTCTGATTTGAATCTAGCTTCAATTAAAAACTTTATTTATATTTCAGCCATGCATAGCACTGAGAGTGCTATATGAAACACAGATGAAGACAATCCCAGCCCCAAAGAGCTCATGTTCTGTGTCCATTAGAAAACTCAGTTACTTGGGTATGGCTACACTACGCATCTTTTAGAGACAGCTGTGCCACTACAGCCATGCCACTAAAAGCTGCGCAGTGTAGCTGCTGTTTGTCGGCAGGAGAGAGCGCTTCTGCTGACAAAGCACTGTTCACACAGGCAATTTTCATCGGTAAAACTTTCATCATTCAGGTGTTTTTTTTGTTTGTTTTTTTTAAAAACACCCCTGAACGACAAAAATTTTGCTGACAAAGTGCCAGTGTAGACAAAGCCTAAGATATCTTAGTGCTCTTCCCCAGCACCCACTCCAAACAGAGAGTCTATGCTGTCTGCAATGGGGAAAATGAAAAGAGGGAGCAGGAGAATGGATAACAGCAACGATCAGAGGACATATTTACAAAGTAGGCATTCACCGCTTTAGATGATGACAACAATTATATTATGCATATAATCACCTTCCTGTCACTTCAAAGATACTAATGCCTTCTCTGTCTCTTTTTAAGAGCTCAGCAATAGTGAGCCATAACACTGAAAAAGTCAGTCGAGTATCACGGTCTGCTAGGCATGCTCATTAGCACTTAATTAAAATCTAGACACCTGCCATAAGAAATGTGCTCAAAAGGATGAGTAACAGGTCTGTCTTACCACCAATTACTATCATTACTTGCAGAGCAAGAGCTGTGTCCGGTTGGGGGGGGGGGGGAAGGGGGAGGAGGAAGAGAGAGAGGGAGGAGAGAAGAGATTGCAATGATGCATGCACAAGCAATTGTATTGTGGTAATTAACCACAGTATTGATTTAAAAATAATCTCTAATTGAACCAGAACTGCTTTGTTACAACCACCTCTCCCCGCCTCCCAAAATCCTTTTAATATTGACAAAAGAACAATTCAGTTTATCATTTGAAAGCTGATTCAAACAGCATTTTATTTCCTCAAAACTTCTGTCCCA